CTGAGCAGCTTCCTCTGCCACTCATTCCCACCATGATACATTGCCTCATCACAGACTCAAAGCAATAGGGCTAACCAACCATGGACTGAAACCTCTGAAAACACCAGCCAAAATAAACTTCTCTTTTTAAGTTGACTTTCAGGGGGCTTCTTACAGTAATGCAAAGCTAACACAAGCACCAACAGTAACAATAGTGTAAAAATTCACTGAAAATGAGATGTGGAGGTGCAGCAGGAGAACATTACCAACAAGTGAAAGGGCCAGCTAATCTAAGGTCATAAAACGACTAAGGTTGTAAAACGATGAGCTGAACTGCTACTCTCGAGTGACAAGGGCCACCCAGAAAAGACAAGAAGTGTGAACTGTTTCCCAAAGCATGGTTGGAATAAAGGCTGGTAAGAAGAAAACAGCTAAAATATGTTCAAAGTTTTTAAAGGCTGAGAATGGAGTAGTGTGGCAGGTGAGTATAACTGGGATCCCCGAGAACAAAGGTTTCTGTATTTAGTCATAAAAAGACCAAAAACAGGTGCTCAGAAGAAAGCTCAGAAGTCAAGTCTGGAGACTAAGAGTCTTCCTCAGTGGTACAGTCACAGAACTCTGCCCATTTCCCAAACCCTTCCCTCATATACACAAAAACCTTAAGTCAACGGACAAGGGCAGAAGCTCTCCTAGGGTCCACTCCTAGAGTCTATCTAGGGGAATGGTAGAATCAAATAGGATCTGCTGAAGGGAAGGAGGTGGAGAAACCCTCTTGGGCCCAGGATCTTGCTGATACAAACCAGGTAAATAGACACAAAACATGCTAGTGATGTGACAAATAGGAAACTTACCCACAGGACATCCCAGGTTCAAAGAAGTTAGCTGCCATGTCAGGATGAGGTAGACACTGAGGAAAACCTGCCTCAAGACTCAAAGGCATTAAGAGGATACTTAGGTCCTACCTAAGACTGAAGCTGAACCATGAGACCTAGAACCATCACTGTGGTTTTCCTACCATAAGCCTAGCACTAAAAAAAATAAGCAACAGCAGTTTACTGTTGAAAGAGGAACAGAGCAGGGAAAGAGACACCTTCTGTGGAATGGGCACACAGAAGATGCAGAAATCTGGACCAGGTACACTGAGAAAAACCCAAGAACAGTCCAGGCCCCACACCAGTACAAGGTAAAGCAACTCAACCCTGGAAAAATTTGAAACCTGTGGTACAATAAGAGAAACTATAAAATAAGGAGAAAGGCAACTGAATACCGACTGAATTAATTCAATTCACTATATTAAAAGCACAGCAGAAAAAGAGATGTCCCCATGGAGTAAATATTGTTTATCTCAACCTCTTCTATTCATGTAGATACAATATCCAATTTTCAATAAAGTAAATCACAAGATACCACAAAAAGGCCAAAAAATCAAAAACCCTGTCAAGTGATAACATAATCAACAAAGCCATGTCCAGAAACAACCCAGATGTTCAAACCATCATATAGGACTTTGAAATATAATATTATAATTCATGATTGTGTGATCTAGTAGAAAAGTGGACAACATGCATGAAAAGATGGAGAATTTCAACAGAATTTCCCTGTATACTACATGGAAAGGAGAGCCAAATGATGACAAAATTGCTTGTTAATGATTAACAGAGTTTTAAAATTTCTTCCATAAGCATATCACTATTAATAGATACAGGGAAGAATCAGGAACTTAAAAGTAAGTGAAACTAAATTATTAATAGGAAAGAATTTTTAAAAATTTTTAAAAAGAGCATCTTAACACTGTGGAACAATTTTTACCAACCCAAGAAGGTCAGAGAACCCTAAGCTGGAAGAAAAAGACCCAAACATACTAGAAAACCTAGATATATCATACCAAAACTGCTAAGAAACAAGAATTAAGAGAAAATCCTGGTTCAGACGGGGATGGGGGGGGCGGGGCACAATTATAGCGAACAAAGACAAGACATCAAACTCTCCTCAGAAATAATGCAAACAAGGTCTATGGAGCAACATCTTTAAATACTGAACAGAAAGAAAAAAAAAAACAAAACAAAACTGTCGACTCAAAATTTCATACCTAACAGAAGAAGTACCTTTTTAAAATGAGCAGAAGAGAAAGATCTGAAAGCCTTTCCATAGTAATTCCTCTGTGGCTCCAAGATACCACAGACATACTGAAATCATGGTTTCTAACACTTTGTAGGAGTTATATCATCTTTTTTTGTTTCTGTCCCCTACAATGTAAATCCCTCAGGAATGGTAACACAGCTGATTAACCTCTGCACTGTTGGACTTTTGCTTTTAATCAATGTATGAGCAAAAGGAGAAGGAAAAGAAAAAAAATTTCTAGAAACACAGAACAGAGTCAAGAAACCATGCACCTGTTAGTGGGTTTGAGCACCCTGGATAATATCAGGACTCTTTAAGCTTCAATATGCCCAGTTACAAGAGAAGGGTCCTTATGTTCTGGAACCTTACCCTCCACAGAATCCCTTGATAAAATTCAACTCTAAGGATACCCATCAAATTGTCACAGGGAAAATGCAGGCATTCCCTAAATGTCTAGGGAAAGTTAACAATACTGTGTACCTCAAC